TAAGAAATGGGCTCAGAGCAAAGATCACATCCATGGTACAACCAACAATGCAGAGTCTCCGTGCAAAGATAAAGTCAAAGATGTGGCCCATGAGACCCTTGCTGAAATCTCAGAAAAATTAAAAACGTGTGTCCTCAAAGACTTCTCAGGTATGTAAGAGGGCTTTTTACAAATCTTAGGGTCATGTCTCTTTTTGCTAGGCAAAAAGCTCCTAAGAGTCTTTGCATCGTCTCAAGCCATATGATGCTCATTCCAGAGGACAATGTGGCCTTTCCTGAAGATATTTATCAGTGTGGCCTTTGTCTCCCGTGGAGGGAGCACCAATAAGATTCACAGAAAACTTGTAACAGTTTTTTTTTATTTTATTTTATTTTATTTTATTTTATTTTATTTTATTTTATTTTATTTTATTTTATTTTATTGAGACAGGGTCTCGCTCTGTTGCCTGGGTTAAAGCACAGTGCTGTCATCATCATAGCTCACTGCAACCTTGAACTCCTGGGATCAAGGAATCTTCCTGCCTCAGCCTCCCAAGTAGCTCAGACTACAGGCATGCGCCACCACGCCTGGCTAATTTTTCTATGTTTTGTAGAGACAGGGTCTTGCTATATTGGTTAGGCTATTTTTATTTTCTTAATGGTATTCTAGGGCTTACTTTATATATTTGACCTTATCAGAATCTAGGTCAGATTTATACTGTTCATTCCAATGAGATATAAAAACATTACTATTATGTATCTCTATTCCTTCTTCCTTTTTTTTGTGCCATTACTGTTATACATATTATATCTATATCTGTTTTAAAAACCAACACTATATTGTTATAATTATTACTTTACATAATTGGATGCCTTTAAAGAAGTTGAGAGAAGAAGAGTGGGTATGTATTAATAGAGTGCGTTGTACCGACATTCTAATTTACCATTTCTTGTTCTAGTGCATTCAATTTACCATCTGCTGTCATTTCCTTACTCCAGTTCTGCTTTTCCACCTCCTTTGTGCTATTGCTGTCAAATATATTACATTTCTATATAATATATTCAACAATAAATGTATCATTTTATACAATGGCTTTTTAACTCAGCTAAAAAAACAAAGGAAAAGGGCTGGTTTTGGTGGCTCATGCCTGTAATCCTAGCACTCTGGGAGGCCAAGGCAAGAAGGATCGCTCAAGGTCAGGAGTTTGAAATCAGCCTGAGCAAGAGGCAGACCAAATCTCTGCTAAAAATAGAAAGAAATTAATTGGCCAACTAAAAATATATAGAAAAAATTAGCCGGGCATGGTGGCTCATGCCTGTAGTCCCAGCTACTGGGGAGGCTGAGGCAGGAGGATTGCTTGAGTCCAGGAGTTTGAGGTTGCTGTGAGCTAGGCTGACGCCACGACACTCTAGCGCTGGCAACACAGTGAGACTCTGTCTCAAAAAAAAAAGGAAAAAGAAATATGTACTTTTAGTCTTTTATAACTGTGCAATTACCTTTATGGGTGACTTTTGTTTTTTCATGTGGATTTGAATTTCTGTCTGGGTACTTGATTTCAGCCAGAGGAACTTCCTTTAGATTAGATTTTTTTAAAGGTGATCTGGTACAATTGCATTCTCTCAGTGATTCTTAATCTGGGAATGCCTTCATTTCTTCTTAATGTTTGAAATAAATTCTTCATTTAGAAATAGTTTTTCTAGAAATAGGATTCTTTCAGCACTTTTAATATATCATCTTGGTGCCTTTGGGTCTTCATTCTTTCTTATGAAAAGTCAACTGTTAGATACAAGAAGTAAGTTCTAGTATTTGACAGTACAGTAAGGAAATTATAGCTAACATTAACTTATTGTATATTTCAAAGCAGCTTGAAGAGAAGAATTGTAATGCTCCTAACACAAAGAAAAGATGAATGTTTCAGGTCATGGGTCCCAATTACTTCTACTTGATCATTAAGCATTGTATACATGCATCAGAATATCACATGTATCTTAGAAATATGTACAACTATGATATGTCAATTTAAAATTTTTTTAAAAAAATAAAATTCAATTGTTAATTATACTGGGATTCCCTGGTAAGTGACAAGTCCTTTTTCTCTTGCTGCTTTTAAGATTTTTCTCTTTGGGTTTATCTTTGAACATTTTACTATGATTTATCTTTGTGTGGAACTGTTTACATTTTTGTATTTAGAATTCATTGAGCTTCTTGGATGTGTAGATTAAAGTTTTTCATCAAATTTGCGGACTTTTCAGTTATTAACCTTTTATTTTTGCTTTTTTCCCTCTCTCCTCTCCTTCCGATACTCTAAATGTGTATATCTTGGTGACTTAATGGTGTCCCACATTTCTTTCGGGTTCTGTTCATTTTTCTTTATGCTTTTTGTTCTCTATCCTTTGGATTGTATAATTTCTAAAAATCTAGCTTCAAGTTCATTGATTCTTTCATCTGCCCTTTTAAATTGTGAATTTTTCATTTCAGTTATTATACTTTTCAAGACCAGAATTTCCTAGGTTCTTTTCTTTCAAACATTTTTTTTCTCCTCCACGTGAAGAGACATTGTTATTATACCTTCCTTTACTTCTTTAATCAATAGAACTACTTTAGTTCTATTAATATATGTACAATGGCTGTTTTGAAGTCAGTGTGTGATAAGTATGACATATGGACCCTTTCGAAGGCGTTTTCTGTTGCTTGATTTTTTTTCCCCCATTGTGGATGATTCACAGTTTCCTGTTTCTTTTTATGTTGCATATTTTTGTTGAAATTTGTACATTAAAAAATATACTGTAACAACCCTGGATTCTGATTCCTACTCCCTCTCCTGGGCTTATTATTGATGTTGGGGTTTTTTTTGTTTGTTTTTGTTTTTTAGCAATTTGATTTGACTATTTTGGTAAAGTATAATTTCCCCCCAGTGTGAAGCCTCTGATGTCACTTCTCAAAGAGACCAGAAATACTGGGCGTGTGCATAGTCACCCTGAGATAACAATGGTTTTAGCAGGGCTCTCTTTGTCTCTTTTTTTTTTTTTTATCTTTCTGTTGAGCTGTCTGTTTCTCTTGGTATCTCACCCAACTATTAGACTCTACTACTACTTGCTGGCTGGTTGCTCTATTGTTTTCAGTAATATCCTGGGATATAAATTATTCCACAGTCTGACCTAATTAAATTTGAGCTACTTTGCAGGGGTAGTTTTTGAAACTAATCTTTCTAATCTGGTTCTGACCCCAGGAGATCTCTTCTTAGCTGTCTCTTTCCCTGGTGAACAAGATGGCCTACAGTCTATTTTACTGCTCAGAGAGCTATTAGAATCCTTTTAATTGCTTATCACCAAAATCTCCATTGTTTTTCCAAAGCACCTTTAGTCTGGACCTCCCCCTACCATCATTCTCTTCCAAATAAAGTCAGTTCCTCTAGGGAGAGTATTCAGAACTCTGGTCTTATTATGCCCAGCGTCTCCCTTTGGGTATAATCTCTGAGTCACTGCTCTGGAGCTGGTAGTGGTAACAGTGGCCCGTATGTCTTGCAGTGACACCCCTATTCTATAATCAGGGATCTGGGGAGGGATGGTAGCCTCTGTTCCTCTTGGTTTGCCTGATGTGGAACCTTTGGCCTATGAGTGGGCTGGGCCAGGGCAATGTGGGCTTCTGTATTTTTATCCAGCTGCACCAAGAGCAGCACCTCCACCCTAGGGGTGGGAGCTGGATGAAGGAAGAGAGACTCTAAGCCCTTGGCTGCAGTCACCTGGAAATTACTCTCTATAAAATAGAACTAGAGGAGATGAGAAATACTGGTGGCCTGCCCTTCCCAGAAAGGCATACTATCCCTTGCTTAGGAGCCAGTGGGAGAGGGAAACCCTTATTTGGGGCCATATTTTTCTGTGGTAGAGTTTCCATGTTGAGCTAGCAGGGGTCATGGAGGGAGGGAGGGAGAAACACATACACACACATGCACACATGTGGGATTTTAATGAAACTGAATTGACTTTATAAATCAATAAGGAGAATCTTGATACTTTAATAATATTGATGTATCTGGTCCATGGACATGGTATATTTCTCTATTTACTTAGGTGCACTTTAACTAGTCTTAGTAATACTTTGTACCGTGCCTTGCACATGTTTTACTAAGTTCATTTTTAGACTTAATCTTTTTCAGATTATTCTAAATAGTATTGTTTTTCATATTTTATTTTTAAATTGGTTTCTGCTACAACACAGAAATAAAACTAATTTTCATGAATTGACCTCATAATCCAGCAGCCATGCTCAATTCAAATATTCATTCTAATTGTAGATTCTTTGGAATTTTCTATGTATGCGATCATTTTAAGTTTCATTTTCATCACTGTCACGAATATCCTCTTCAATTATTTCTCTCACAGTAGACCTCTAATTTTTTTGTACTCAATGAAAATATTGATTGTTTCTTAGTTGGTGTGTAATATCTTTGATGGTTAGACAAGCAAACTAAGATTCAATTGTGGTTCGCTGAAATAGCTGGGCACTTCATTGCCGTGTCTAATTGAATCTGGAATATTATAATATTAGTGACAAAAGGTAAGAGTGACTCAGACAAGAGTTTATTCACTTCAGCCTGACACTTCTTGCTTACATTAAAATTTAAGATATTTCTTTTCTGACTTTGGTCTCCTGATTTTCATATTATTTTATCTAAAGTACTTCTTGTAAGCTTTGTCTTTAGTCACAGATTTATCTGCCAATTCCTACAAAAATTTACATTTCTCTTCTCACTCTATTCCTTTTTTTCCTGCAATGCAATACTATTTCCTTATCTCTGTGTTAATAGAAATATAATTTTCTAATCATGTCCATAGTGACGTAATCCATTATCGTCACTAAAGCCTTTCCTTATCTAGGCCAAAGAATTTGATTTTAGTTCCTTAGTATAATGATTACATTCTCATAGCTTGGTAGCTTTGTATGTAAACTCTCCTGAGCGTCTAGTTGGAGGAAACATTTTGTAATACGTGTTATCAGCAAAATTCAGATAACATCGTTTTCACAGTAGACTTTGGTTCAGTTATAGTTTGGAATGCCAGCTTAGTTACTCCACAATTACTTTCCACTGAGCTAGAGTAAAGATCAAGGACCATACTTGCTCTGAGCCTAGTGGAAGGTCACTGTACTTTTTGATAGATTTGACAAAAGATGTCATCCCAGAACCAGCTAAATGTTCTTCATAAATTCAAGGGTATATTCTTTTCTACTATGTCTTCGAAAGAACTTCTAAATTCTCTGGATTCTTTTGATGCAAGAGAAGATGATGTGTTTCTGGTTTCCTATCCAAAATCTGGTAAGTTTATTTTAATGCATTTTTTAAAAATAGAGAAATATAATAACAGGAAGATACAAAATATTCATTTTTGCAAAACATTTATTTTTCAGAATTTTCCTACAGCTAATTCGAATTAAAAATTTTGATACTAGAGAGCTAAAAGTGTGTCTTGTAGAAAATCAATTGGAAAATTTAAAGTTTCACTGTGCTTTTGTTTCTGTGTTATTCATCAAGACATATATAGATGTTGATATATACAATAAGCATAACATCTGTAATATTATAAAATTCTCATCATACTTTGCACCAGGCATAATGATAACTTAATAGTGTTTGTTCAGTTTATATACTTAATGACTGATTTATATAGAAAGAATATATTTTTCTTCTAGGCTAATAATATCTATAAATATTTTTATTGTTAAAAGGATTTTATTTCAAAGTTTATTCCCACTTATAAGTATACATAGATGAAGAGATAATTTATTATGAATAATATCATTCTGTAAATACTCAAAATCTATATATCAAAATAATATAATTCTGTAGATAACCAAAAATAACCAATATTTTTGGATTTGAGAGGTGACCAGGGTATACCATGTTCAATTGCTTGCTGCTATTTCCAGAATAGCGGACATGTAGGAATGGACATGCACCTAGAGTTCAGCAACCAAGAGCTGGAGCTTCCTTCAAGTTGCATGTGCATTGTGACTCCCTCATCAGAAGCTTAAGAGGTCTTTGCAGGGAAGACCCAGAGTTTACACAGGGCCAGATCCTCCAGGGTGCTTTTTGAGAATAAATATAAACTACACACACACACACACACACACACACATCTGTATGTGTATTTATACGTATATATAAAAATATTATTTATTTTTAGAATACTTCAGGGTAAAGTTGAAATGTAATAGGTTGCTCTGTGAATAAATATATCTTATCTTAAGCTGATGTGTTAGTTAGAAAGTAATTTGCCAGATGCTTTGGCTCATGCCTATAATCCTAGCACGCTGGGAGGCCCAGGCGGGGAGATCTCTGGAGGTCAGGAGTTCTAAGCCACCGAGCAAACAGACCTATCTCTACTACACAACCGTAATTAGCTGGGCTGGTTGCTGTCCCCTGCTCAGTTGAGGCTGAGACAGGAGGACACTTGCGCCTAGGACCTACTCGACGGCCCTTGCTGACTGGCTGATGTACGGCATCTAGCCGGTCAATGGAGTGCGGACTCTGTCTGTTCAAGAAAATCAAAGACGAACTAAATGTAAATACTAAACTGATAAACAGAAATAAATTCGATTTTAAACTGGTCTTAGAGTGTACTTCATACCATATACTTACACACCACGCATAGGCTTCCATGCAACTATTCGGTGTCTATGAATGCGTTGACATCTTCTGCATCTACAAGCACCATGCTTACAGAGTATCCTATCATGGACAAAGCTTGGATACTTCTCTCTCTCACAAAATAATCAACACGGTCTGTTAATAAACACTATCCTTAATTGGTCAATTTGTTGTAATATCATATTACAAATTTAAGCTTATTAAATTCCTAATTTAAAGATCCTCTCTACTAAGAAAAGAATTAGCTCAAACATAAAATATGAAATACGGGCTGGTGGCCCATGCCTGTAGCTCCAGCTACGGAGGCTGAGGCAGCGAGATATTGAGCCAGGTTCCCTTGAGCTTGATGTGCAGCTAAGCTACGCCATGGCACTCTACCGGCAGAGAGCTGATCTGTTAAAAAAAAAAAAAAAATACAATGAAAAATAAGAAAGAAAAAATGATCTAATATTAACAAATATCAAATCCGAATTATTAAACTCTAAATACTCATTCACCTATACATTTGTTAATATTTTATTTCATGAATACAATAGAGTAATGAACAGGTCTGATTTAAAAATTTGGGTGGGGGCTTGCTTCAATAGATGACTCCCCTTCGCAACTTCTACTTATCTGCTCCATTATCTGTTTCTAACTGCAGTCCAGTCTCCGGAGGAGACGGAACCTGCCCATGGCTGTTGCACAGGGCCCGAGCTCTGCCTCCTCCATTCTCCCCCCCCAAGTGTGGACAAATTCGTCTTCCTGAATTAGGAGTGACCACAAGAGCTGAAGCTTCTCTGTACTTTACACGCACGCCTCAATCCTAGCTTCATTCTCCTGGGCTCTGCTCCCCCAAGCCCTGAAAAATTCACTTCCATGAACTGGTCAGTGGCCAAAAAGTTGGGGCTTCGCTGGCACCGGTGCACATCCACATTTCGCTTCATGTACAACGTAAGTTGTTTTCGCTTCAGCATTCATGTAGCAGGCTTCATGGTGTTGAATAGCAGCTAGGTTCTTTTCAACATGCCTTTTATTTGATCACTACGTGTGTCGCACAAAACAAGACCAGTGTCTTTTAAATCCTTCAGAGGGACATGGGCGAGGTAAAGGAACCAGAGCGCTGGCATATCCTTGTGTGGGGGCTCAATACAGGGACGGGTGGTGACGGGGGAGCACAAGGGCATGAGCAACTCTGCAGGGGGCGGGGATTTAGGGACTTTATGCAAGAGGAAGATGCATGAGCTCCCAGGACCAGGAGAAATCCTACGTGGAAAGATCTGTGTGAATTTGTGACTTGCAGAAGGATCTAGGGACGAGTCGTAGCATAGAAACGTGTTTCAAGCTGCAGAAACAGAATGTGCAGTTTTCATATACTCCTTCACACTCTTTACCATGTGATTCTACCTATAAAACGAATTAGCATCTCAAGTGTTTCAACAGGTTTCAATGGGTGTCAGGAGGTAATAATGACTATGTGTAATAAAATTAATATGTTCATTGCTTTTATAACATGCTAATTTCCTATATTCATTTCACCAAGAGTGACATTTAATTAAAGTTGCGTTTTATTTTACTTTTGCGTGAAGGCACTCACTGGGTTGCAGAAGTCATTGGGAACATCCCTAGCGCTAAAATTAATCTCACATCTCCTATTGAATTTGGAGACATTTCCAAATTTGAAGAGCTAAAAATGTATTCTAAGAGAAGAGTAATTCCAACGCATTTGAGCTATGACATGCTACCCAGGAATATTAAACAAAAGCAGTGCAAGGTAAGTTCTATGGGAAGGGGCAGAGGCTCGGGAGTCTGACAGCAATGGGCTTTGATCCTTGCTCTGCCACATGGCTTGAAAGTGGCAGAGCAAATGCTGCTTATGTTAATTATTTTATCAATCAAAGCTGCAAGGGACTATATAGAAAAAGAAAAATAAATTATAATATAAAATGCTCAAGAATAATTACTGCAAGCCATTTTTAAAGTGTATATGTTATTATTTTCCTAAAAGTGGATTGCAATTTAAAAGAATATTTTCTATTTTCACATCTTCCGTGTTCAAATTTATTTTTTCATGGAGAAATGCTTATGGGGTCAGGTTAAGTAGAAACCATGTTTTTAAATGCACATTTACTAAGTAATCTCCATTTAGTGAAAATATACATACACATGCATGAAAACAGACTAGATGTAAATATATCAACATGCCAAGTGATTTTCTACAGTGTGCCATTAGTGCTGAGTTTTGCTTTCTTTAGAGATGGATGTATGAGGAGTATTTTAAAATTCTATTTCGATGAGGAGTTAAAAAAAAAAAGAGAATATTTGAAAAGCAAAGGCAGGATACATGTGGCAGCTGTAACAAGCTCCCAGTAATGAAGGCTCTTCAGAAAGCGTCAGCCATATTCTAAACATAAACACAAAACAGCCTACCAGTCAAACGTGCATGAATCAGAGCAGATCTTCCTGGGATTACAAATCTGTGGCCACAATGCCTCTGCGCACGCCATCCGCTCTTCTGCCCAGGCGAAAGTAAACACAGTCCACCAGAGAAGCAAATGTCATAGAGTTTTTTGCCTTCATCCCCAGCAAATCTGTCAGAGCAGGGGAAGGTGTGTTAACTGGGTTGCACTTTTGCTCAACCAATCATTTTCAAACAGACTGTTTCTAAGACAGAGAGGGAGGGAGGGAGGAAGGAAAGCAGAGAGGGAAAGCGGGGAGAGAGAGAAAGAGAAGCAGAGAAAGCCAATGAAACAGAAAGAGACAGAGAGAAACAGAGATAGAGACAATCAGAGAGAGAGATGGGGGAGAGAGAAGAGAAAGAAGAGAATGATTTGGGAAGAAAAGGAGTCTGGCCAGCTCAATAACCCTTACTCAGGGTAATGCAAAGAGACTGAGAACAGATAGCTAAATAATAAGCTACGTGTTTTATATGCATAACAACAGTGGCAAGTGTGGGCATTTCTCCCTTTATAAATGAAGAAAGGTTAGGGTGCTTCTCATTGCCATGCTGAGCCTACAGCCTCAAGGTCCAGCACTGTCAGCATGGCCCCTGCTGGGGACTGAGCCTCTCCTCTTGTCCCTGTCCTCTGCCCTGTCCTCTGGTTCATCCCCTGCAAGCTCCAGAGCTGGACAAGCCTTTCTTGCTCCAGCAGGGCCTGTCAGACAGGAGTTCTTTCCTCAATCTTTCCCTACCAGCTCTCAACCCCACTTGGTCTTCTATATTTTCTTCCTAACTATCGTTTTGCCTTTTTCATGTTTCTAAACTCTCTGATGAATGTATGCTTTCATGTTTGTATGCTTTCATGAATGTATGCTTTTTCATGTTTCTAAACTCTCTGAATATATGCTTTCCAGCTCATTTCATGACGTTTTGTTTAATATTTGATCCCATCCCCCACGTACACAGTACTGTTCTGCCTTCTCTGCATATGCCCCACCCCCTCCAGTAAGTCTTCTGATTTCTTAGAACACGTTCTTTGGCGAAATAGGCATTCATGGGTTGCATTGTCTTCCCCACTAGATAGTAGAGACAAGTCACCTTGGGGCTTCTCCAAAGGCCCTAGAAAACTCTTTTCTATGCCAAGACAAATACACCCAACTGAATGGCCGAGGGTTAAAACGGTGCCATTTTATCCCTTTTTGTTAAGGCAGGGGGTGTTTAAAGCTGTGTACTCTCTGAGCCCTGGACTCTGGGAATCCGCTCAGAAAGCCCAGAGAAAGCCCGACGTGCTGGGTTCTCCCACAGTTCTCTGTTGGGATAAAGAGAGGACAGGGTGGTGGCGGGAGTGGTGGGGAAGGTGACATTTGTTCTGTATACAGTGACCTTTACACATCTCTCAAAGAGAGGAACAGGCGTGGTTCATGGAGAACACACAGTGCCTGGACTATGAACATGATACAGAAAGAGAATACTAAGAGTGACTCAGCAAACACTTTCTTACAAGCACAATTCATTTTTCACCCTGACTGTCAATTAAACAAAAAGTAGGACATCTAATACTCGTGCAATGGTGAACATGATTGCAAATACACCTGTCGCTCCCAGCTTCTGACACTGGTTTCTCGTGCTTTCTTGTATGCCTGTGCCTACTGCCATCTGCACTTCCCAGGTTATAATATAGCTCTCACAGCTAATTGGCCCCCTTCACCTGACTGTAAGTTTTCAGAGGGCTGAGACCATTTCTGTCTTGATCGTCGTCATGCTCCTTGGACCTGGAACACTGCAACCTGCCTGGCCATACAGGAGATACTAAATACATATTTATTGAAATCGAATTGTCTCAGTTGCACTCGTGGTGTTCATAGAAATTGGGAGCATATCTCAGATTCCCTGCTCCTTTGGGGATTAAACTGTAGAAAAAGGAAATGCCAAAACAATAGTCTTCCTATAAATAAGAATAGATGGCCAGGTGCTGCGTACACTCTTGCCTGTGATCCCAGCACGTTGGGAGGCCGAGGCGGTTTGCCCTGGCTTGAGGCCAGGAGTTCAAGACCAGCCTGGCAACATAAAGAGACCCCTGTCTCTACAAAAAATTAGCTGGGCACAGTGGTGCGTGCCTGTAGTCCCAGCTACTCGGGAGACTGAGGCAGGGGGATCACTTGAGCCCAGGAGTTTGAGGTTATTACAGTGAGCTACGATTATTTATGCCACCGTACTCCAGCCTGGGGGACAGAGCATGACTCTGTCTCTATGGAAAAATAAAAAAAGAATAGACAATTTGTAAGACATCTTATTGTATGTAAATCAGTTTTGTAATATATGGATATTAAAAAAGTAATTTTGTCCTATGGATAGTAAGGTTTTCTTCATGACTGCCCCTAAAAGATAAGACCAAACTTAATGCATAAATTTAAAAAGTGTGGTTGGTGGATGAGCAGCAAAACGTCATTGGAAGGAAGCTTGTTAGAAATGCAGAATGCCCGGCCGGGTCCTGGACGTCTAGAACCAGAATCTGCGTTTGATTCTCAAATACATTAAGTTTTGAGAGACACTGGCCTACGTCTGTGTTTAATCATCAGACAAAGCTGCCAAAATAATTGCGACTTACACAGCTAAGTTCAGCTGCTACTTTCTTTTAGGAAATGTTTTGTATTGGGGTAATTTCCATCCAAGAATAAATTAATTTTTTAACAGATTGTCTACATCGTCAGGAATCCAAAAGACGTAGCCGTTTCTCTGTTCCACTACTACAGAGATAACCCAAATCTCCCCTGCATCGAGACATGGCCTGCATTTTTAGAGCTCTTCCTAAGAGGAGATGGTAAGTATAGAAATGGTTTTCGCTGGTAACATACAGTGAACTTTCTCACTCAAAATGAAAGCGTTTTCTAAAAGTTTAAATGGATCTTAAAGGCCCATTTTCTGAAGTGCATTGAATAGATTATTCTTTTGTTCCTTTTAAGCAAATTCCTTCTCACTTTGCTTCTTCCCAGTCTTTCTTATCACCTGTGGGTAGTACCTATTAGTGATTACTTATTGAGCTGGTTTTAATGTTTTCGAAACAGAGATTAATTCTGTACAAGTACCTTTTTCTTTTTTGTGTATTATCAGTCTTTTCAGTGAAACAGTTTTGCACTGATTGAAGTGCAGAGATATATAGTTGGAACCTGGACAGGTAGCCTGAAATATGTCTTGTATATACCTGGCTGGAAAATAAAACAGCACAAATCAACACAAAATATACAAACACACACACAGTTTCCCAAACAAACGAATAAACAAACTATGAAATAATTGGCTTTATAGAAACTAAATGAAGCACTTTATCTGGAAAACATCACAATGGAACATGACATCATTAAGCTGAGCAGCGCACATTGGTCCTGCCACTGCGCACGACCTTTGAGTTTATTCCACTTCCCCTAACTCGGTGGTGTCTGAAGCACTTAAAAAAGCCAAACTATGGGCCAGGCACAGTATCTCACGCCTGTAATCCTAGCATTCTGGGATGCTGAGGTGGGAGGATCACTCAAGGTCAGGAGTTCGAGACCAGCCTGTGCAAGAGCACAGGTATTTTTCTACTAAAAATAGAAAGAAATTAACTGGCTAACTAAAAACATATAGAAAAAATTAGCTGGGCTTGGTGCCACATGCCTGTAGTCCCAGCTACTCGGGAGGCTGAGGCGGGAGGATCACTTGAGCCCAGGAATTTGAGGTTGCTGTGAGCTAGGCTGACGCCACGGCACTCTAGCCCAGGCAAGAGAGCCAGACTCTGTCTAAAAAGAAAAAAAAAGGCCAAACTATTCTGAGTTCCCAAGCCTTTCATGAAATAAAAAAAATATGCCAAGACAATACAAAATTTAGAAGAGAAATAATTTAGAAATGAATGATGTGTGCCCAAAGAACCCTGCCTCTTACTGGGCTTAGAGTAGATCTTCTTAATTGCTAATTTTGCCTTTTTACCTGCAAATTGTTAAACTTTCATTTGCTCATTTCAGGGAAGTCACACCCAGTGTAACTTTAACCTGAGTATATTGGTGACCCAGCAGCAGTAGGTTTATACTTCGTTTTGCTCTATTCCCTTTAGAAGAATATGCTGTGCTCACACTATTTTAACTCCTCTTTCCCATCTATTTTCCTCCTTGACTTCCCGCTAGTGGCACGCATATAGTGGGATCATAGGGTTTCAGGAATGGCAGGTGCCTTAGAGTTTAGCTCACCCATATGACGTTTGAGTCACCTTTACAAAATCCCCCAGGGTTGTATGGGCTAAGCCTGAAAGTCGTAACTCTGAAAACGGTTTCACCTCCCCTGCAAAGCATCTTGGAACTGCTGAAATCTTTAAAAAAAAAAAAAAATCTTACCATTGACTCTGTGCTGCCCATGTGATAGAGACACTTAGCTAAGTGCTGTGCAAACACGGTCTCATTTCTTCCTCACTAGAGCACCGTGAAGTCGATCTTATTATCCGTATTTGACAGGTGAGGAAAATGCAAAATGCGTCCACAGATGTGTAACTAACAAGGAGCAGAGTCAAGATTTAAATTTAGGTGACAGCTCCCAAATCTTTGCCCTCCCCGCTATGCCATAATTCATCCATGCAAAAAAAAAAAAAAAAAAAACCTTTTCCAGATTATTAATTTCTCTTCCCCATGATAGGCTTCTAAATATTTGAAGATAGTTAGCATGCCTCACTCCACCTCAGTTCCATTTTTGGAGTAAGCAGAGTTTAAATACATAAATTAAAAAGAAACACAATAGATAGAGCCTGCTTTTCCTCAAGACAAGAAATGCTGTTTTTGTCTCCCATCATTACACACTGTGGTTCACCACCATTTCTCATGGCTGCGTGAGCTGATTTGGCCACATCTCTGTCGCTGTGCAGGGCCCAGAAGGCAAAGCACACTGTAGATACGATCTGACCAGGCTAGCACTGCTCTTGTTTGTGAGATTATTCCTCCGTGACTGCAGCCACAACAATGCCAGCCCAGGCCAGACTTGGTGCAGCTCACTGAGAGTCATGGAGCATCTGCCTTTATTACCACCATGTTCCCAAGAGTCATAGCGCAATATCCAAGAGGGGCAGAGTGGAGTTGGAAAAGTATTCCAGGTGATTCTTTTATACCTTCTTAGGAGAATAAATAGATTTATAGTTGTAAAAGATCTTTCTTGTAAGTATTACACAGCTGGGTGATCCATCCTAGGCAAATTCTTTCATCACTGCACCACTAAAGCTTTTAAAACAAATCTATCTGGGCCAGGCATGGTGGCTCACACGCCTATAATCTTAGCACTCTGGGAGGCAGAGGGGAACAGATCAGGATCACTCAAGGTCAGGAGTTCGAAACCAGCCTGAGCAAGAGCGAGATCCCGTCTCTACTAAAAATTGAAAAAAATTAGCTGGCCAACTAAAAATATATATACAAAAAATTAGGCGGGCATGGTGGTGTATGCCTGTAGTCCCAGCTACTCGGGAGGCTGAGGCAGAAGGATTGCTTGAGCCCAGGAGTTTGAGGTTGCTGTGAGCTAGGCTGATGCCATGGCACTCACTCTAGCCTGGGCAACAAAGCGAGACTCTGACTCAAAAAAAACCCCTCTATCTGCATGGTAGCAATAACTTATTTTTTCATTACTTACAAGATAGGGTTGTTTGCTTTCCCGGCAGTGTGTATGTGTTATATATATGTGACCGTGTTTCACGAATGTTCTTTAATGACTTTTTGAAGAGAGGATTATTTATTTCTCTTGCAAAGGAGTACACGATGTAATTGAAAGAACAAACAATGGAGGCAGAAGACCTGGCATCAAGTCCTGACTGTAATGCATTCCCTGTGTGGCTTTGGACTAGTAGCTTAACCACTCTGTCTGCAATCCTAAAATAAAATAGGACTAATAAATGATCTGCTTCATCCATTAGTAAGATAAGATAAGAAGTGGCTGGAATACACTGTAGAAATTGTAGGGAGCAAGGCCCCTGGCCCCATAAATGTTTGCTGAAAAATCACTGACATGAGGCAGACTGATTAATAGGAGAAGAAGACAATTCAAATTTATTTTAACATGTATACACAGGAACTTTCAGAACGAAAACTCAGCTTCTCCGTGAGGTACAGAGGTTTTCAAAGAATAGGGGCTTGGATTGTGGCCAAGCAGGTTTTGGCAGCAAGACAGGGGTAGAAAGCCAGTTTGGCTAGCAAAGAGGTGCATGTCATGCAATTGAAACCTCACAGGTAGCTGCCCTCAGAGAAAATAGATGGTGAATATTTCATTTCAGACCTTTAAATTTAAAGAAACCAGTTAATCTTTCCCCTGGACTGGGTAAGTAGAGACCTGGCTGCATTAGTAGAGATTCTCGACAGAGGTAAATTTCCCCCCACAAATGACAGCTTTGCAGCATTCCTTCTATTTGTGAGACCCATGGCAGCCATCTCAGAATATGTCAAAGAAATATATTCTGGGGTAAAATATTCCTGATTTCCTTCCAAATCTACTCACTTGTTATTCCTCTAGATACAGAAGACTTTTTTTTTTTTTTTTGAGACAGAGTCTCACTCTGTTGCCCAGGCTAGAGTGCCATGGCATCAGCCTAGCTCACAGCAACCTCAAACTCCTGGGCTCAAGCCATCCTCCTGTCTCAGCCTCCTGAGTAGCTGAGACTACAGGCATGCACCACTATACCCAGCTAATTTTTTCTATATATTTTTTTTAGTTGGCCAATAATTTCTTTCTATTGTTTTAGTAGAGATGGGGTCTCACTCTTGCTCAGGCTGGTTTCGAACTCCTGACCTTGAGTGATCCGCCCGCCTTGGCCTCCTGGAGTGCTAGGATTACAGGTATGAGCCACCACACCCCAGCCATACAGAAGACTTGAAATAGTTTCACACCAGGGTAGAATGTTGCAAGTAGGTAGTTATCTAAAGAGATTATTTTACAACTAAGGCATCAAGATGTCCTGTACCTGCCTTTAAATATAGTCATAGATAAGAATTATATAAGACAGGACAATAAAGAAACATAGATAGCTAGACATTTATGTAATCGTCCAATTTACCTTTCATATAGTAGTATATAATTACATGTTAGTTTTTCAAGTTAAACAATAACTGTAAGTTATGTTGTAATAAAGTCCTGACCTATTAATATGTCAGTGAAACTAATACCTTAGCATTTTGCTCTCTTTTTTCCCCTATGGCTCCATCTCAAGTCCCCTGTGAGTGCTCTATATTTCCTAGGTTACTTCACCCCATGGAGTTTTGCTTTTCTGCACAACTATTGTGTTTTCAGAGTGCTTTCTAGAAACTGCAAGCAAAGATGCTCATTATAATCCAATATGTGAGAGGGGCAGAAGGTTTGCAGAAAGTGAGGAAGGTTTGAAATAGCTGATGGGAAGGATAGAATGTGCTAATGTAGAACAAATAGGTTTGTTAGGTGGCTGTGGTGTAAACACAGAGTCATATAAATTCTCCAGCAGTGATCTGCAGCAACAGGAGAAAAGAAAAGAAGGTGAAGAGTTTTGATTAAATACTGGGTGTTTATTTAAGAGTCTGAAATAAGCAATAAAGAGGCAAGGAAGTTGAAGGTTTTGGCAAGCAGACTGTTGAGGGGATGAACAAGAGAAAGAAAGCAAAGGTAGAAAAGTACAAAAATGGCCAGAGCAGGGTATCATAGAAGGTATTTATTAAAGTCACTGCAGCAAATGGTGCCACCTGAGGTGACACAGAAGATTGCGATCTAAAGTCAGAGTCTTCTGTGACTGTAGGGAAAGGCCAGAAGGCCAATGTGTGCCTGAGATAAGGAAGGGAACAGTGTTGTGTTCACATGATTCTCAAAGAAGCCTGAGCTCTATAGGAGGGAAAATTCTGGAAGTTGATAGCAGCAGTGAGATTTCTGACTCACTCTTTAGGCGCAGGACAGATGGATTGGGCAAGAGCGAGCAACCTCTATTCAGGGTGCTGGGCCAAAGGGAAGGCTCCCTGAAATATTGCCTCACAATAGAGCAGATTAATAAAAGAAAAGCTAATTTGTTCTAATGTGTATACATGCGAGCCTTCAGACTGAAAACTCAGTTTCCCAGTGGGATTCAGAAGCTTATATGCCTTTCTGATAGAATGGGTTGTTGGAGGGGAAAAGAATTCTATGGAGGGGCAATAAAGAGGATTGAATGGGCCCAGGGAGCAGTGGCTCACGCCTGTAATCCTAGCACTCTGGGAGGCCTAGGCAGGAGGATTGCTTGAGGTCAGGAGTTTGAGACCAGCCTGAGCAAGAGCGAGACACCCCCTCGGCCCTTCTCTACTAAATTAGAAAAACATTATCCAGTGAACTAAAAATAGAAACAAAAAATTAGCCGGGTGTGGTGGCTTGTGCCTGTAGTCCCAGCTACTCAGGAGGCTGAGGCAGAAGGATCCCTTGAGCCCAGGAGATTGAGGTTGCTGTGAGCTAGGCTGATACCACTAGCCTGGAGACCAAAGCAGGACTCTGTCTCAAAAAGAAAAATTAAAATTAAAATTAAAAAAAAAAAAGAGGATTAATAGAAGGAAGAATGATTAACTAGTAAGTGGTTCCCTTTGGAATTTAAATGAGATGAAGGAATGGGACATTAGCTTTTTAAGTAGTCTGCTCATATGTGGTCACATTCCTGGTCTTACTGGGAAGGGAAGAAAAGGACAATTATTCTCCAAGGTGGGTCTGGATCCTTGATGGACAAAGAAACTTCAATGATTTGGGGAGAGTTGGTGGTGGTCATGGTGGGGCAGGGGGAGGGGGGACAGAGGGGAGGTCAGAGAGATCTTGAGCCTTCTTCAGTCAGTCCAACATGCTAAAATGCCATATTTTCACATCAAAATATCTATAATTTCCTTCAAGGGGCACTCAGGGGAAGGAGTCACTTTGGATAGCAAAGAAAGGGCAATCCGGGTGTTACCCAAAGTTCAGCACTTGTCTCCAAGGTTGCATGAGAAGAATGAGGACAAGTGTTTTGAGCAAAAGGAAAGAGAAGTTCATTAATTATCTGGGAAATGAAGAGGATGGAGATTCTTGTCTTAAAGTACCATCATCCTAACTAGAAGCAGAAATACAGAGCTTGTAAAGGGAGAGTTTTCAGCTTCAGAATATTGCTGTTTAACTATAGTTGATAGTTCCAATCCATCCTGTCTCCAGAGAAGATACTCTCGTGACCTTCACCTGGACAATTCCGTTGAGCCGTCTCCGGTGGCACAAAGAACAAAGGACACTCTCCTGCCCCTCTGATTACTGATCTTAGGCAGAGATGTAGCTTTTGATTCCCAAAAAGAGTGGGGCGAGTTTTTTAAAGAGACAATTTGTAAACTGTTTTGTCCTTTTTCAGGCCGTTCCCTCTGTTACACAGGCATGTGTTAAGGCTAGGAGGTACTCGGGTAATTCTGTGATTAACCAAAGAATGTGGAGAAAAGCATTTCTCAGAAAAGGAACATTTTCAAATTTCTATTTTAGAAGCTACATTTTCTTTAAAGCCACAGATGTACAAATAACTGGACAATGAGGATTCCGATTTAGAAATTAACCAAAACTGTCATTTTAAAATTCTAACTCTTGAAAAAAAAAGCTTTCCAATTACACTAACACACTTTCCTATTCATACACTTCCTAGAAAGGAAGGCACAGGCAGCCAACTTCTTTAAATTCTTTTGGAGGTTTTAAGTCCTTGTGGAACAAAGGTGGGGTATAAATTAATTAGTCAATAATAGAACAGTTGGCTCTCAAATTGCCATCAGGCTATAGCTACAAAAGTTCGTGTTTTGAGGCATGTTGCAATACATTTTCTACTGAAACACCAAAATGGGAGATCAGTCTTCCCACTCCTCAGTGTTGGTGTCTGGGAAAAGATCGGGCTTTTTTCGAAGATGAACTCCTTATCAAAAATATGGTAATTCAGGTAATTCTAAGATAAGGTATTGTGTAAGTCACTGAAACAGCCTAAGGTGGCTGATAACTAAAGACTGTATCAAGGGCAGTTTTTCTAAGCACCATTCTTATTACATAATAACCTTGTGGCTTCCTGGGGTAGAAAACTGAACTGACTCTTTAATGACACCGCAGTAGTCCAGGAAATTCTTGTTTTAAAAATGCATTATGGTTATTTTCTTGCCCTTTGTTACTTCAAAAGCTGAAGCCATAAAAAAATTGTAGTTAGTTTGGAGTTAATTATATTTCAATTTATTCACAGCTTTAATGTTCGAAATGTCTACCACAATGTCTGGAAGATACTCGTGGCTTAATAAATATTTATTCAATGAATCAAAAGTCAGCAGATCTTCAGGAAATCACTAGTAGATTAGTTCTTTTATGTTCGGGGCATTAGTTAGAATTGAAACTTTGGATAATAAGGATGCATGAATGATATATATGTAGTAGTTTAAATTACTATGTTTTATGCTTTAGATTTTCAAGGTAGTTGACTTCTTGTGATGACAAGAAGTTGCTCACTTTTTATTCTTAATCATCACTGCTGAAGAGGTAATTTTTTATGATGCTATTTTACTTCTAAGCCCAGGAGGTTTTATAAGACTGCCATTTAACAACAATAAAGAGATACAAAATCAACTGCAGATATATCCCTAAGACTGTATTTTTCAGCCTTGAAGGAAGATAAGTAAATAGAAGCTTTTTTAAAAAAAGAAGTTTAGAAACTTTTTATGCTAAGAGCTTATAATTATGAAAAACATGTCACATTACAGGAAGAAAATGATAAATTCTCAGTGTTTCCCTATTTCTCCCAAGAGCCAAAGCAGTAATCAGAACATAATTATTGGAAAAATGTGAATCTTTGTATTTCTGTTGCCATTTTTTCTGAATGATAAAATAATATTTACTGGAAATAGGGGGAAAAAAACCACCAACAGGCTTATGAAAAGATATGGCTGTCTTTCTCCATATTACAACATTGTATTTAGTTGGAATAATAGTGGCTTTGAGCTCCTCTGAGGAAAATTTGCACTCCAGAGTCTATGCATGTGCCTTACCTTGACTTCTTCCCCGAAGTGAGAAGAACCCAGGGACGCAAAGCAACAATGTTTAATATTAACACAACAATTCACTTTTCTTCCAGTTGTGTATGGATCCTGGTTTGATCACGTTTTAAGCTGGGAAGAGCACAAAGATAATAAAAACATTCTAATTATATCCTATGAAGAAATGAAAAAGGTAAGCCCTCCCTAATGTTTTGAAAATCAATATTTAAATTAAATTAAGGTAAAACAGGATATTCAGTCAATGGATTCAGGTTTCGGGGAATGAACTGGGGCTTTGATAAGAGTTTCACTTATTTTTTTATTTTCTTACTGCTCAGGATCTTTCTAAAAGCATAAAGAAAATGACTACTTTCCTTGATATAAATGTGAGTGACAGTGAAATTAATAAGATTGCTTGGAAAACATCATTCAGCGAAATGAAAAGCAGCGCAGCCAAAGAAAACCACGATCCAAATCATACCATCTGTGCCCTGACATCTAACAGGAATCTGGTGTTTAGGAAAGGTAAGTTAGAAAGCCAGGTGGTGCCTTGTCTGGGGCTCAAATTTGGAAGCAGTTCCATTTTGCCATTTTTAATCTCTCATTTCATCTTCATGTAGCCCATATCTTGCACAATGGATGGCATATTGTCACCCCTTAGTGCAGGTTTATTAAATGAAATTCTTGAATTGCATTCGCTCCAGAGCTGAGATTTCCATGCCCAGTTACTAACCAACTGAGAGAGATACAGGAGTCAAACATGTGGAAACAATAAAGCTATTTGAAGACTGTGGCTCAGGTCTGCAGCCTAGTGTGTTGCTAATATTACCTTGAATTATATAAATAGACGTCCCCCCTGGGGCAGGCCACTAGAGTCTGGCAGAGCACCCTACAGGACACCCCCTCTCTTTAGGAGACAGAAGGGAGCTGAGGAGTGTGGACAGTGCATTTCCCCAAACTCACCAAACAGAAAAATCACCCTCCAGGAGTAAGTAAGGGATTGGGAGAGAAGCTGAGATTGCTCTCTAAGAAAGTTCCTCTGCATGGAAACACAAAAAGAGAAAAACAAACCTTTCCCACTAATTCCGAAGGTTTAACAGAGAAGTAATTTGGGTATATCTAAATATAGAATTGTTTTGAAGGCCATGTGAATTTTTATCCAGGTCTGGAGAAAAATGTATTAATATAACTTAACAAAGGCAAATTTTTCTGCATGGATATACTCAGGTTTCTTACCAGAAAACACATTTTTCCCCCCTTCTTTGGCCCAACTGAATCTAATTTACCCCAAAGCAAATATTTGCCAATTTATGTAGAACAGATATTGTCTTAACTTTGCAAATTATTATTTTCTTTTCTGGTGGCACATTTTGTAATTTCCATATAGCTGCAAAAGGGCTAGAGGGAGGTGAGAATTCAATTCAGCAAATATTTATTAATACCTTGTTACTTCTAGGAACTAAGATTCAAAAACTAAATAAAACACAGCTCTTTCCTTCAGAAGATAATAATCTAGACAGTAAAACAAAGTGACACAGCTGTACTAGTGTATGAGCAGATATGAATGAGAACGCAGGTAAGAGGGAGTTAGTTTTTCTTACAAAGTGGGTTAGGAAATCATGTTGGATCTGGAACTTGTAGGGGTGAGGAGAAACTTCCTCTTTCCCCTGAAAGTTCACTGAAAGATCAACTCACAATTAAGGCAGATTAGTAAGAGAAAGGTTTATTTGCCATGTGCATGGGGAGAATCACAGAATGAATACCCAATGTTCCAGTGGGATCCAGACATTTTTATACATGCCTTTTAGAGGAGAGGGGAGATGAGGAATATAGGTAATTCTGTTTAACGGCAATAAATGGCTGCTAGGGGGGATGAATGCATGGAGAAAACAGATTGACTTATAAATTAACCTGAGAAGTGGGTATTATGTTTTTAACGATTTGGGCCAGGTCTGGTTGCATTCTTCATCTTCTTTCCTGCAATATATTAAGATAACAGGGAGAGCCGGGCGCGGTGGCTCACGCCTGTAATCCTAGCTCTCTGGAGGCGAGGCGGGCGGATTGCTCGAGTCAGGAGTTCAAAACCAGCCTGAGCAAGAGCGAGACCCCGTCTTTCTTTCTACTATAAATAGAAAGAAATTAATTGGCCAACTAATATATATAGAAAAAATTAGCTGGGCATGGTGGCACATGCCTGTAGTCCCAGCCACTTGGGAGGCTGAGGCAGAAGGATTGCTTGAGCCCAGGAGTTTGAGGTTGCTGTGAGCTAGGCTAACGCCATGGCACTCACTCTAGCCTGGGCAACAAAGTGAGACTCTGTCTCAAAAAAAAAAAAATAATAAAGATAACAGGGAGAAGAAGGGAAGTCCATTGATCCTTTTGATGGGTCAGTCCGGTCTATCCATATAGAGGGTGAGCCTCTTCCAAGTCCTGTAAATCTCTTAGAGCCTTTAATTTAAATTTTTTATACCAAAGAATCATATTTTTGGGGTGAAATTTCCTGACATCCTTCAAACTGAAAGCAGGAACAAGATATTACCCAGAAAAGTGGTGGATGAGAAATACATTCCCCCAAGAGCTAAAAGCAAGGTGAAAAGCTCAGAACCACCATGGAACTGGATGGCATTTTTTAGAAAGAGTAGGTAGTCTCCTGTGTCAGAGTGGTATACGATGAGCGAAGCTGTATGAGGGAAATAAAGAAAGATTGGTGCCCACGAGCTTGAATGGATAGAGCTTCTTCCCTCCTTGGTCTGTTGTTTTAAGAAGGGAAAGTCCAATTAAGAGGCTGATGTAATATTTCAGTTAAGAGACATCGGGGGCATCCTGGAGGCAGTGGCAGGGGAAGCAGGGCTAGTGGAGAAAGTGATAAAAGATAGAGCCCTGGAGAGCCCAGAAAAGGGATTAGCCAGAATTGGGAGGAAAGCCACGATCACAGGTGGCAATGCGTGTATCATTTGTGAATTCCGAGAGCACAGTGTCCAGGGTCGCAGGGATGGAGGCCAGGGCGAGGGGTTTGAAGAGACAAGAAATAAAGAAAGGGAGCAGAAATTCGGGACCACTTCAACCGGTTTGAGAGTGGAGGGAGTGTAGGCGCAGGAAGAAGTGGGAGCTTGAGAGAGAGGCAGGGTCAAGAGGAAGGTTAGGAGGGGGTGGAGAAAAGACAGAAAGAATTTAGAAAAGGGTACATGAAAGAAACCAAAATAAGCAAGAGGGAGAGAAACAGAGATTGGGAGGGACCCTGGTAAACAAGACAGTGAGAAATGAGGAAGTTCTGATGCTCAGTGGTGTCCATGATCTCTGTTGACATCGTTTATCCCTGCCCTTTGAGATTCCGATGAGCAAGATAATCAGAATTCACACATCTTAGCCTACAAACTTGTGAAATTTTGCTCTACAGGGAACAGAGTTAATCTCTGACTTGCCACACTAGCAAGCCTGGCCAGTATCCCTGGGTGAAATCAGATCAACATAATTGTAGCTATTAATATTCCTTGTAATGCATTTAAATTCTGCTCATAAGCATTTTTCTTGTGCTGGATCCTTGTGCTTCTTGTGCATAAGCCCAGAAGGTTAACAGTGGAAATATCCTTACTGTCACTAGTCACCATGAGCACCTGTTGGTAAATTGGTACTACACAAGGAATTAAACCCAAGGATGGACCAATAGAGACAATTCACTTCATTCCTTGCATTGATTGATTGGATGGAGTGGGAGTTTGGGACCCAACCTCTGAAAATAATCATTTCAAATAAACTACTGAAGTCACTGATTCAGACTCCTTGGCCCACAGAGTTATTCCTCACTTTACAGAGATTTTGTGCTTGCAGTTGTGTTTACTTCAAAGTCAGAAATAGAGCGGATATTTAAGAAATTGACTAAGGTGGCCATGAAGATAGGTGACAAGTGAGGAAACAAGTGTCACAAGTCCCAGGGCCCACGCGTGTTGAAAGTTAGGGGCAGAATTACAGGAGCAGGGAAAGATGTATGGACAGGATGCAAGTTGCAATGTTGCTTATTGTAGTGAAAGACTAGTATGCACGCAAATGGCTATTAATCAGAAACTGCTAGAATTACATCCACACAGGGAGTCATGAAAATTAAAGAAAATTGTATAAAAAGAACCAGCATTTACTGAGTGTTTCCTATGTGCCAGGCATATCACTTGGTTTATCTCACTTAAATGTAACAGCAGAAGTGAGGATGGTATTCATGTTATCCACCTTTCACTGACACACCAAGTGTGTGAATAATTTGCCCCAAATCACACAACTAGTAGACTGTAGAGTCAAGATTTGAATCCAAACAGTCTCATTTATTTCTGTCTTCTCTCTTTTAGTCTAGCCAAAAGTGTGACAATTTTATCCTCAAAAACCAACTCTTAGTTTTGTTGATTTTTTTTGTGTGATTGTTTTCCTAATCTTTATTTTGTTTATTTTTGCTCCAATTTTTATTGTTTCCTTCCTTCTGCTAACTTTGGGTGTGGTTTGTTCTTTTTTTCTAGTTCCTTGAGGGGTAGAGTTAGGTTATTTGTTTAAGATCTTTCTTCTTTTTTAATGTAGGCATTTATAGCTATAAATTCCCCTCACAGTGATGCTTTTGCAGCACCCTATAACTTTGGTATGTTGTGTTTCCATTTTCATTTGTGCCGAGATATTTTTAAATTTCCCTTCTATTTCTTCTTTGACCTATTGGTTGTTGATCTTACTCAGTCTAAACATAATTTTTATTGTAGATGTATACATATTAACATGATATATGATCAAAATATAAGTAAAAAAAGGTTAAATTGTGTGATTTTTAAATGTAGTTTATATGTGTATATATGTTTGCAAAGGAAAACATCTGGGAGAATGCATGTTAGCAGATCTGCTAGCCATGTTATCTAGGTATATTTCATTGATTTTCATCTTCTTTTGCTTATATGTATTTTCTGTAACCTATATATACAATTACTATATTATTTTTAATAGAATTTTCTCTTTAAAAAAGTAAAAGCAAGTCAAAGTGAAAGAACAAATTAGAAACAAGACAAACAAAAGTCAGGCCAAATGAAGGAAGAGAGCAGTGAGTGGTTCAGGCAAACTGATATAGAAGCTGGAAGGAGAACTAGGAAGGACCAAAGCATATTGATAAGTATAGGCATACCTTGTTTAGTGGTGCTTTGTTAAAGATCTTGCATTTTTTTTTTTTTTACAAATTGAAGCTTTGTGGCAGCCCTGCATCAAGCAAGTATATCGGTGCTGTTTTTCCAATAGCATGTGGTCACCTTGTGTCTCTGTGTCACATTTTGGTGATTCCTGAAATATTTCAAAACTTTTTCATTATTGTTATATCTGTTGTGGTGATCTGTGATCGTGGATCTTTGATATTATTATTATAATCGTTTTCGGGTGCCACAACCCATGCCCATGTAAGATAGTGAACCTAATCAATAAATGTTGTATGTGTTCTGACTACTCCAGCTGTTTCCCTGTCTCTCTCCCTCTCCTTGAGCCTCCCTATTGCCTGACACACAATAATATTGAAATTAGGCCATTTAATAACCCGACAATGGCCTCTAAGTGTTCAAGTGAAAGGAAGAGTCGCATGTCACTCGAGTTAAAGCAAAAGCTAGAAGTGATTAAGCTTAGTGAGCAAGGCATGTTGAAAGCTGAAATAGGCTGAAAGGTAGGCTTCTTGCACCAGTTAGCCAAGTTGTGAATGCAGAGGAAGGATTCTGGAAGGAAATGAAAAATGCTATTCTAGTGAACACATGAATGATAAGGAAGTGAAACAGCCTTCTTGCTGATAGGGAGAAAGTTTGAGTGGTCTGGGTAGAAGATTAAACCAGCCACAACATTCCCTTAAGCCAAAGCCCAATCCACAGCAAGGCCCTAATTTTTTTCAATTCTATGAAGGCTGAGAGAGGTAAGGAAATGGGAAGAAAAGATAGTAGAGAACAATAGAAGATGGTCTATAATGCAGGGATAAAATGATGTATTGCTTGCTGTAGTACATGTAGACCTCAGGGATGAAGCCTGAGACCGGAAGTGGCAAACGATGGTGGGGGTAAGATCTAGGGTTGGGCTTGGAATAGTGTGCATACTGGAGGTGAGAAAGGCAGTCCTGAGGGCTGACCCAATCGGGCCAAGAAGGATGATTTATATAATCGGGAGAGGGTAATGAACTATGTGAAGCACATATCTTATCTCAAGCACCACTCACCTTATGACTTGTGTCTATGTTTACCTAACATGGTTTTTATGTTTTCAATTATCTTATCAACTTCATAAAATCAATGTCATTAAAATGAGACCAATTACCCATCCCTAGTGAAGGTTATCAGCATAGCATCTGCTGTGGAGGTGTATGGGCGGGAAATAAATGAAACATCATCATATTCACATTGTCTGCTTTCTGTTTTATTTTTATTTAGTTATTTATTTTTGAGACAGAGTCTCGCTTTCTTGCCCAGGCTAGAGTGCTGTCACAGCAATCTCAAACTCCTGGGCTCCAGTAATCCTTCTGTCTCGGCCTCCCTAGTAGCTGGGGCTACAGGCATGCACCAACATGCCCGGCTAATTTTTCTATATATTTTTAGTTGGCCAATTAATTTCCTTCTATTTTTAGTAGAGACGGGATCTCACTCTTGCTCGAGCTGGTTTCGAACTCCTGACCTTGAGTGATCCTCCCGCCTAGGCCTCCCAGAGTGCTAGGATTACAGGCGTGAGCCGAGGCGATCGGCCTGCTTTCTGTTTTTATTAAGTTTGGGTGATGAACTTCTTTGCCTGCAATAGTACAACCTGTGAAACTTAAGTATTTTAAATCTGCCTTTATTTTTAAGAAATAATTTTTTAAACTACATCAATTAATATACGATCATTACAGAAGAAGTTAGGAACAACATATATGCAAATAAAGAATAACCCCCTATCATCTTATCACCAAGGGAGAGCAAATGTTCGCCTTTTATGATAAAGCTAGCAGACTTCTTTTGTGAATACAGTACATTTAAATTGGTTCTTGTCTGATACATTTCCAATTTTTCCAGGCGCAGTGGGTGATTGGATAAACTACTTTACTTCAAAGCAGAAGAGAGTATTTGATGAACTATTCACACAGAGAATGAAACACAGTGAACTGGCAAGACGCTTTGAGGATTACTCTAAATAGAAATGGGAAATGGAACTAGTTTTCATTTTATGCAATGTGGTCCTTTGGGAATACGTAGAAAATTTTTACCAATGTGAAAATCAGTTGGGTTTTCTTTTTTTGGTGAGAAACAGACACTTTATGAATGTGTCAAAAGTGTCCAGTGTGACAGAATTTTATATGTGGGGATAGCAGAGAATTTTTCATAAAAGGAAGTAAAGAATTTTTGAATAAATTTTATATCTGTTTCCAGGATATTCAGTATAGCAAGGCAATTACCTCTATTCAGAAAGAGCATTATTACTCTAGGTGTTTTATAAGCTGCATTCATGTACAACAAAAGAGGTGAGGAGTTTTCTAAAATAACAAATGTCTGTCAAGAATTTATTTGCTGCCCATTTGGGATGATCGTGATCTCTATTTCAACATTCCCCAGTGTCTGTGTAGAAATGGTCTCAACTGTCATCACGATGACAAATATAATCTTACTACGGTGGAAACCACTAAGAGGTAAATTATAATCACATTCCAGTATATTGATGAGAAAGACAAATGGAAAGATACTCTCTCATACTAACATTTTTTTGGCATTCCGTTTATTTTCTTTCTCTTTGATCAAGTCAGTGAAATAACAAAATTTCTTATCTCACAGTTCTGAAGGCATAATTTTCTTTGACGTGTTTATGATTCTTTACAGTATTTTGAATATGTATGCCTTCTCCCGGAAGCATTTCTAACATTAATCCAATCTCTATAATTCCTTCTCTCCTATAATGAATATGTTTCTATAGCTTTAGCCTGGAGGACATTGTTATGAAATTTCAGTGAACTTATTTTAAGACTATTTATTATCTAAATGACAATGCATAAATTCTGTCATATTGTTTACATTTGTCATAATATCAAACTCAAGGCTTAATGGGAAATCACAAGTGTATATTGTGTATGACTCTGAGCTCTGAACTTCAAGCAATAGGTTGAGTTAGTTAATTTAAATACTTTGATTTTGTACCTTAATGCACTGTGAACTTTATTTTTAGTAACAAATCTGTTGGAGTCTTTTGTATCAAGTTTATCACAGTTTTGCAAGAAATTAGATCTTCCTAAATCTTGTTTATGTGTATCGTTGTTATAAATAAAATACATTCCTGCTGACAAGCAATTCAGTTTTTTTCTTCCAAATTAATATTCAGTCAGTTTTACTTAGACATCTCCCTTCCTCAAGTAAATGAGGTTAGTGAATGGCAAATGCAATCAAGTGTGATGCTGAGAAGTCTTCATCTTCATTTTGGAGCTAAAATCACACTTAGACCTGAAGCCTTCATTGTCAAGTTGGAGCCGAAAATCACACATGTTGGAGTTAAAGTCCCGCCTGATGTTGGTGTTCACAGAATGACAAAGCCATCAGAGTAAGGAGATCTGATGAGGCCAGCAAGTGAAGAAAACAATGACGGTAGTGTTAGAGGAACCAAATCCCATGAGTCTATATATCATCTTTTCTCAACATTAGAATGATCTTTGAAATGGAAAGAACTGAACTAGGACCGTATTTGATGACATTATAGTATTTGAGATCTGTAAAGTACCTTCGAGATGTTCTAATGCAATTTAGATAGGGAATTGCTTAAGGTCAATAATCTAAAGGTCAAGAACCTTAATTCTCAGTTTGTTTATTTATTTTGAAACAGAGTCTCACTGTGTTGCCAGGGCTAGAGTGCAGTGGCGTCAGCTTAGCTCACAGCAACCTCAAACTCCTGGGCTCAAGCCATCCTCCTGCCTCAGCCTCCCGAGTAGCTGGGACTACAGGCATGTGCCACCATGCCCGGATAATTTTTTCTATATATTTTTAGTTGGCCAATTAATTTGTTTCTACTTTTAGTAGAGACGGGGTCTTGCTCTTGCTCAGGCTGGTTTTGAACTCCTGACCTTGAGTGATTCGTCCGCCTCCCAAATGTGTGAGCCACTGTGCCCGGCCTAATTCTCAGTTTATGATCAGTCAAAAATATTCTTGAGCACCTTTTGTGTGCCAGGTTCCACTGTAGACTGCAGGAACACATGATGAACTTGAAGGAGTCCCTGCTCTCAAGATGCTTACATTCTAGAGGGGGTAGATATATAATTTTTTAAAAAAGTAAACATAGGGCCAGGCGCGGTGGCTCACGTCTGTAATCCTAGCACTCTGGGAGGCCGAGGCAGGCAGATTGCTCAAGGTCTAGAGTTCAAATCCAGCCTGAGAGAGACCCCGTTTCCACTAAAAATAGAAAGAAATTAATTGATCAACTAAAAATATATATACAAAAAAATTAGCCGGGCATGGTGGCGCATGCCTGTAGTCCCAGCTACTTGGGAGGCTGAGGCAGAAGGATCGCTTGAACCCAGGAAATTGAGGTTGCTGTGAGCTAGGCTGACGCCATGGCACTCACTCTAGCCTGGGCAACAAAGCAAGACTCTGTCAAAAAAAAAAAAAAAAAGTAAACATAGGAGATATGTCAGGCACCAAAGTGTGCTATAAAGAAGATCAAATAGGGTAATACACTGGACAGTGACTGCAGAGCTGCCTTAGCTGGGGTGTTCGGCTGAAGACCCTGACTGAGACAGAGAAATCCCAATGTGAATGATGAGTTGGGGATAGCTGGCTTGGAAGCATGGAAAAGAGTTTGGATTTCATTCTAGGCGGATGATTTTCCAAAGGAGAGTGAGACATTCTGATAGACCTTTTCAAATATCACTCTGACTAGTAGATGGAGGATGGACCTAAGAGATCAAGGGAAGAGGTGCAGAGGTAAATAGCTATTGCAAAGCTGTAGGTAGAAGAAGAGAGGGGCTTGGACTATGACTGTAGCAATGGAAATGGTGAGAAATTTTCAGGACAGTTTCAGGAAATAATACAGCTATTGAGCTTGCTAATTTATAATAGAAACAAGAGACAGAAGGGAATCGATGATGAAGCCTCGATTTTGGCTAATCAACTGAATAACATCTGAGGGTGACATTTATTTAGATGTGAAGGCTTGATAGCAGAATGATTTTGTGGGGGTGGGGGGGAAGCGTGTGGATAAAAACTTCTGTTTGAAGTGTCCATTAGACCAGATAGTTGGTTGGATAAGAATCTCTCTGCTGTGTTGTTCTCTGGGATACAGTGAGAGGCTGCGTTGGATTAGAAGATTTACAGAACATTATGGAGATAAGCATCTCTATAATGACCCGGGAATCTTGGACTTCTGTTAGTGGCTGAGATACTTTGGGATAGAAATCAAGATGGATTTATCCTGCAAGTCAGAGCGTACAGTAAATGTAGATACCGGCCATTGCTTGGCTTGCTCCCACTAACATGGTTTAATGATACCTATTAATAACTATATAGATGTTGAAAATTATCCTTATCCTTTCCTTTTCCATTTTCATAAAAGAGTTTTAATAACCAGTTTTAAAGTCCCTTTCCTGGTTAATGTTTCTAGGATGAAAGTTTAGAAAAATGATTTTATTAAAGCTTATTCTGTATCCATGTGTTCAATACTACCAATAAACAACACCCAGGAGTTGCGTCTTGGTGCACACAAATACAACACTATAAATCGTCAATGGTTCTTTCATTGAAGAGGCCAAAATACAACAGAAGAATATCCTTCAGTGGTCACTTTTCTTTTACCTGCTGTAAGTATCAGTTGCAGTCAGGTACCTAATCAGTGGGAATCTACATTTAGTGACAATGCCGCCTTCTCTAACTTCAGCTCACACCCACTGTGAGTGGCTCTGCTTCCGGAGGGCAGAGTGGGGTTGGAGGGTGTACAAAGAGACTCTGGTGAGTTCCTTCAAATCCTACTACTCATCCTTTGCCCATTTCCTGGATCATTGCCCAGACAGCGAAAGCAGTCGCCAGCCAGGCCAGCCCAGGGATTGGGCTAAGTCACTCCCTGCCATCCTGGAGACCGGTGCAGGTTGGTGGCCCTGGGATCCGTGCCCATGGGGGTCTTTCCCTTTCCAGAAGGGATTTCTCCCCCTGAACTCTGACCTGCCACTTTGCTTTTTCACTTCCTTGGAGCTTACAAGCAACTTAAAATGCATTTCCTCATCCAAACCACCTCTCGCTATTTCCCGATTGATTGATTTCCTCTGTAACTTAGTTTTTACTTTTCTCCTCCTCCATTTCTCCTCCCCGTGCTCCTTTGTAGTCAATGAGTAACTGCTAAAGCCTGATGATACTTCCAGGTTTCATTAGCCAGCACTTCCTCGCTTCCAAGCATTTGTTTGTGCCTGAACATCACACCCCACAGTCGGTTTAACACCAGCTCTATGAAAACACGCTCTGACAGTCCCCTCTCCTTGCCCCTGTTATTTCCATTCCTTCCTCATTGAATCTCTGGTGATTCTTCATTTGTGTTTCACTGTCCACACTTAACCATTTAAGCCTCGTATTTTAAGGTAAATGTCCCTCTTCCATTCTAGTTGCTAAAGTTCTTGCTGGAGTCCATTCTGTGTCCATTTTTGTATCCTCCACTACATCTAGCCCGGCATCGCCCGCATGATAGATGTTTAACAAATGTTGGTTGTGAATTGAGTTCATGGACCAGCTTCAATTCTACATCTTCTAGAAAACTGAGTTCTAATACTGCAACCCACATGGATCCTATTTTTGTATTCTCCTAGTACTTCACGTCTGCATTAGTCAATTCTTTTTTTTTTAAACTAATCATATGTTCCCTTCCATTATTCTCTAACTGTTTCACATTGTGCAAGTTTTTCTTCCCTATTTTATTGTAAACACACAGAGAGCTTATGAGAAGCCTCTTCAGGGACTGATGCAGTGTATTGCCCACAGAAATTGTTCAGCAAGTGCATGTTGAGTGGAAGAATAATCACATGTGATTTAAAGATGAAAGAACACATTCCTGTCTCTTTACCAACTGCTCAGCTTCCTGGTCCTGTAGGCACGAATGCTTAGAGTGGTTTACTTCTTTGCTTTTCCTCCACTTTCCAATTCAAACCAGGCACAATGTACTATTGATTCTTGCTTTTTAATATCTCTTAATCCATTCTGAGCATAATGAAAGACTTTACTGATCCTCCTTCAACCATTAAGGTAAGCAAAAATCAATTATAAATTGTAAGACTGGTCTGTAGCTACCACCTATATGATAAATACATCTGGTAGAGAGATCAGTGCCGTTCACACAATGTTTTAACCTTTTTTTTTTTTTTGGTACTTTCTCCTTGTAATGTGTAAGACTATAAAATAAAAATATTCTTTGTCTGTAAGCAGCTCATGTACACATTTATAAAATACCAGTTAAAGTCAAGGCACTGAAAATTAGCATCAAAGAGGAATAACGTAGCATTTAAATGATGTTCACGTTGGTTTTATTTACTTTTACTGTAGTTTAATAAAAGAATTGTTGGTCCTTTTTCTGCACAGGTACAGACCTGGGTGGAATTTTCAGTCAGCAGAGGAGTAAGCAGGAAACAGCCCTTAGGGCTACTTTGGATGAAAAGCCACCTGACACTCGAGTAAATAAGGAGTCATCAACCCGATTAGCCCCATAAGGAACC